GTTGGAGGCCGCACCTGGGATATCAACTTTACCGTTCTGAGGCGGTCCCGGGTGAAGGTCCGGCCTGATGCCTAGATTGACAAGATCCGTCCGTGACTTGATACCATCCTTTGTCTTGCCCTTGATGTCCAGCAGGACACCGATCGTGCTTTCGAAGACATTTTTCTCTAGGTGCATGCAGTCGATGGCATGGGGTGTATTCAGTGTTTTCCAATACGAGAGGTACTTGAAGAAAATTGACTTCTTCTTGAAAGGAACGGCGGCGGGGACTTCCTCCATCTGGTCCTGCTTTCGCTTCCTTGTCTGCTTGGTCCCCTCTTTAGGCGGCTTCTTCTTCTTTCCAAACTCCACCTGATCCATGTCCTTGACCATCTCATACACCTTTGTCCCCCAACTAGTCTGCGTCGGTTGATCACGCTGCGGCTCGTCCTGATTGTCAAAGTATTTGTTCATAATACTTCTTCTATACCTATGATTTTTGACGAGGAACCATCTGTGCCTCATGTACACCATCTTATTGGATCCCTTAAGGTAAGTGTAGCAGGTCCCATCGATGCAAATTACGCAGCCGGTCTTCCCTTTGATCTGCCCCGACAGTGAGAAGAGACCGGGGTAATCAATGATGGTGACAAAGATGATTGCTTTTAGTGTGAACTTCTCCTTGCGGGATGCATCCACCATCTGGACCCCAACATCAAATAGTATCTTCATTTCCTCCATGAACGGCTCCAGGAACACATCTATATCATTGTCGGGCTGCTTCGGTCCGGAGATAAGCATGGTCAGCATAAGGTACCTACGCTTCTGACATAGATGGAGAGGTAGGTTGTACATGGTGAGCACGACGGGCCAAGTGCTGTGCGAGCTGCTAAGCTCACCGAACGAGTTCATCCCGTCGGTACTCAACGCGAACCTAACATGCCTGGGCTCCTTACCAAACTCCGGGTAGGCCTCGTCGAAATCCTTCCACTGCTTGCCATCGGATGGGTGCCGTAGCTTGCCATCGTCTTTCAAGCGGTCAGCTGATGCATGCCAGGACATGAGCTTGGCATCGTCCGGGTTCCCGAATATTGCACGCAGGCGATCGGTCATGGGCAAGTACCACACCGACAGTGCTGGACTTTTCCTGTGCGTGTAACCCTCTTCTTCATCGTCATACTGAGCCGAGATCTGTTTGGCCGCATTGCTCTTCTTTGCCCCCTTCTTGTTCTTCTTCCGACCACCCCGCAAGCCTCCCTCGTCTTCTGCATCCACGCGACAACCAACATTTTTCTTGTACCGACTAAAGCCGCAGTACGGACAACTCGTCAATTTCTCATACTCATTGCCCCGATACAGGATGCAGTGGTTAGGGCATGCATCAAACTTTCTAAGCTTCATCGCCACTGGCCGGATCAGCTTCTTGGCCCGATAAGTATTGGTGGGCACCTTGTTAGCCGTGGGTACGTGGTGGCAAGGTAGCTTAACAACTCATTGAAGCTAGTGTCAGACCAACCATGACGAGCCTTCAACATCAACATATGGAGGTTAAAACGGAGCGCCGTGCACTCCTTCGGACAATCGCCGCCGTCCTTATAGAGAGGATCAACTGCCGCCTGCTTCAACTCTGAAATTCTCCAACCACTTTGGGCAACCCAACACAACGTCGTCTTCATCGAAGTGTTTGACTAGATCTTCAACAAGCTGCACATCCTCGGGTTGGCTCACAATATCCTAACAATTCCCACCGTCGCTGGCTTCGTCGGCCATGTCTTGCATTAGATCATCCACCGTGATGTAATCACGACAACTGTTGTCACTGTCGGCTGGCGCAGCTGCTGCTGAAGATGATGAGGAGCCGGGTGCTCTTAAAGGATCTTTATTCACCGGTGGTGCTGTAGTTGTCGGCGTCGAAGAGCTCACTCCAGATGCACCGCCACTCGCACCAACTCTTTCGCCGTGAAATGTCCAGACTGTGTAGCCCTCGACGAAACCATACATGATCAAATAAGTTTGCACCTCACTGTCTCGGCGGGCTTTCAGGTTCTTGCAACGAGAACATGGACATATGGTTGTCATCCGCTTCAGTCTCTCACGGTGAGCTTTACCTGCAGCAATAAACTTTCTTAATTCAAAGAGGTACCGCGGACCATTCACTCTATCGATCCGGTACATCAATTCCGACCTATCCATCATACCTGCGAATATTATCCGTCACAATCAACATTAAATAAATAAGAATTAGGAGAAATTGATGATTTTTACGTCCAAAATCATGAAAAAGAGAGGAAATGACGATGTGAAAGATGAAGCATGCATCTATGCTGAATCTAAAGTTAAAGAAATACATGACATCATTTTTTTCATTAAAATTGATCTAGATCTAGAGAGAACTCTAGGTGATGGAAATAGAGAGAGAGGATGGAAGGAGAGAGGGAGAGCCTTTATGAACCTCTTATGATGTTCTCCTCCCTCAAATCCAAGCCCTTCAACTCAAATCAAAAGTTTACTCAAATTTTAGGGCGCATTCCCCCATGAGTTTGAGAGAGGAAGACCCGTGGAGAAGACGAAGAGGTGGTGCTGTGTATTTGTACAGGCTTTACCGCGGTGGGCAAGATAAAGCGCCTGCCTCGGTAAATCAACTCTTTACCGCGGCGGGCAGTTTAAATAGCCCGCCACGGTAAATCGTATTAACCGCGGCGGGCGATTCATACCGCCCGCCGTGGTAAATAACGATTTTCTACGGCGGGCAAGTAAGGTGGCCCGCCGCGGTAAACCCTTTTCCCGCAGCAGACGCCTCGGTGACCGGCCTCGCTGGTCGGCCACCGGTTAACCGTGGCGAGCAAAAGAGGTGCCCGCCACGGAGCCTATTTTGGCCTCGCTGCGCAAATTGATTCATGTAGTAGTGCGATTTTTTAAGCCTAATTAATATGTCGTTAGCACATGTTTACTGTAGCACCACGTTGTCAAATCATGAACTAATTAGGCTTAAAAGATTCGTCTCGTAAATTAGTCATAAGTTATGTAATTAGTTTTGTAATTAGTTTATACTTAATACTCTATATATATATCTAAATATTCGATGGGATAGGAATTCTAGGAGCGTAATCGCCCCGCTCCTCTCCACCATCGAGTCCGCGTCGAGGCATCTGCAGAGTCTGACATCAGCCCCAGATTTATAGACCCATCAGATTATTTAATTCCATGAGCACCTCCCAATCGGCGATGGCACCGGCAACGCTTGCGGAGGGCATGAGGTTCGTACCTTGGCCACGGCGTATGTACAGATCGACGGGGATAGGAGAAGGCTGCTCGGGCGTTGCTGCGACCATGGCGCAGACAGAGAAATAGAGGAGACGATGCTGCTGACGGCACGCACAACCGCCATCCCAGCCTCGGGCGCTCACATGGACGCCATTGCCGGCCTGCTCGCACGGACGCAAGACGCCGCTGCGTTGCTGGCCAGGCCCCTCGCTCGGACGCCACTGGACCTGGCCGCTGCTGCCTCGCTAGCTGGTGGCCACGACCTCACCGCTGCTGCCGCGTTATTCCGCTCCTGTTGCCTGCCGATGTGCAGCCTGTTCGCTGGTTGGTTTCAGCCAACTCAAACCAGTCAGCCAACAGTGTTTTTCTCTCACAAAAAACCAGCAACAACCAGCCCAAACCAGCACCAGCACCAACCAGCGAACAGGCCCGTGACCTCCGTGTTTCCGTCGCTGCCGAGGACAGGAAGGAGTGCGATGGATGGCCAATGGGAACGACTGTCGTGGTGCGTTGGGCCGTAGTATTGGGCCTGGTGTACGGTTCCAAGAGTTAGGACATGTACTGCCTTTTTAATAAATTTTTTATAGAAATTCAATCTATATTGGTTCATTTTATAAAGTTTAGTCCATTTGCGAAGATGTCAAGGAGTTCAGCCCTGATTTAACGTGACTACATTATGAGACAGAAAAATAAAATAATAATAATAAAGTAGTAAATGTCAGAAAAATAAAAAATAGGTCAAAATATATGTAGCTGGTTCTCGCTGACTTAATCACAATCTACCAGGTTGCTAATTTCAAATTAAACACAATTGCCCTGTTAAAGTACCGTTGGCTGATTTGTTGTGAGAGAAAAATATTGTTTGTTGGCTGAAAAAGTACGGCTTATAAGCCAAGCGAACAAGACGAATATCCAAACTTTGGACCAGTAAGACAATATAAAATTGATCTCTCTATATGAATATTTTTCTAATATTAAAAGGAGAATTTTTGTTCCTTCATCTTTTTATCCTTCACTCAAGATTCATGTGTCCCTTCACTCCCTCCTCGAGCATAAAAGTTCTAGCCGTCTTTACTAAGAGCAGTAGTATATGATAAATTAGAGACTAGAGTCTTGAATTTGCATGGGTATTGTTTGTAGACAACCATGTAATATAGTTCGATTCCAAGATGTACTGTGATATATGACGCAAGTGTTAAATAGTTTTCTGACCCCGAGTCATCTAGATGACCGTATAACAAGCCCCGTTGCAACATTTGCTAGTAATAAAGAAAAGTGAAAAAGGCACCAAACCTAGATGGTTCCGTACTTTTCATCCGCAAAACAAGTGCGGATCTGCCATCTACCACGCGCGTCGCCGAGCGAGCCGCACTTCAGATTTCAGAGGGCGTCCGGTCGCCACCACCACGACCTCCGTCATCGACAGCTGCGGCGTGTTTAAAGCACAGCTGCCAGCGGCCAACGCTCTCTCTCAGTCTCGGTCTCAGCCTCTGGGCACGCGCCTCGCCTCCCCGTTGGCCGTGTCCGGCCGTCGCTGTTCCTATTTCTTGGCAGCTCCGCCCGTTTGACCTTCGGAGGACCGACAGCGACGACGCCAGTAGATGCACTACTGACGCTACCGGCCACCTCGAGCTCCAGAGCCAAGGACGCCGCGAGGCCGTGAGGGCAGGACAGGGGTCGCGCGGCTCACACACCTCCCAGTCCGTCCTCCTCCAGTTCCGTTTTCTTTGGCCGCGGATCTCGTCGCCTTCGGTGCCATGGATGCAGTCGCCGGCACGGCGGGTATCGGGGACCAGCGGAAGTGCGCGCCCGCGCGCCCGGCAAGATCATCCTCGCGGGCGAGCACGCCGTCGTCCACGGCTCCGCCGCCGTCGCCGCCGCCATCGATCTCTACACCAGGTCCTCCCTCCTCCTCCGCCCCACAGGTGCTCCCGCCCACCCTGGCTTCTTCTGGTTCTTCGTTTTGTCGCGTCGCCGCCGCTGGTACCCTTCTCACAGCTCCTCTCTCCCGGTGCCACGCAGGAGAGGGTGGCGGCGCTGACTCCGGCGCGGTGGAGCTGTACCTCAGGGACTCGGGCCTCACCTTCTCGTGGCCGTGCTCACGCCTCCGCGGGGCGCTAGGCGAGGAGATCAGCGCCAACCCCGGGGTTCCGGCGCCGTGCTCCCCTGACCAACTGGCCACCATTGCCAGGCTCTTGGAGGACCAGGAGATCCCTGAGGCCAAGATCTGGCTCTCTGCCGGCCTGTCCGCTTTCCTTTTCCTCTACACCTCCATTCTGGGGTTGGTTGCTTCTCCCTTCCCGTTTGCAGTCTGTGTGCTCACATCACGTTTTTTTCACACATGTGGTTGTTCGCTGTGTTCTTGTGCAGATGCAGGCCTGGCAAGGCAGTGGTGACCTCGGACCTGCCCATGGGTGCAGGGCTCGGCTCGTCGGCGGCATTCTGTGTGTCCATGTCAGGGGCTCTATTGACGGCTGCTGGCGCAGTCAGTGTTGGAGCACACACGGGTGCTGAGGGGTGGGAGGTGTTGGAGAAGGGTGATCTTGAGCTGGTCAACCAATGGGCGTTCCAAGGGGAAAAGATCATTCATGGCAAGCCTTCTGGCATCGACAATTCCGTCAGCACTTTCGGTATGCTATGAAATTGATGAGTTCTTAAACCTTTATTTAAAACTGGTAGTATTGAAATGCCTTTGCATTCAGGGTTGACCTCTAGTGGAATTCGTATTGAGGTTGTTCGCAATAACTTAATGGTTGATTGCTTAATGGCACCGCCACTCTTGTCGCAGATCAGGATTGCTTCTAGTTCACTTATTTATTTTTTCAAACAACTCCCCTAGTTTATTTATGGTATGTTAGTTATATATGTTCTTGACTTGCACCTACTTATAGATGATGTATCTATGTATTGAGATAAGTAATTTAACCAAAGAAGTCTTGTACTCTTGTTAGTTTTAGGTCTAAGGCATGGAAACCTTTGCAAATGGGTGAACTTAAGTAATTTATTAATAATCATAAGATCATATGAATGTTAATTGCCTTCTTATCATTTCTCCTAAGTTTGTTTTGGTTCACTAAATCTTATGTTTGAAACTAGGAAAAATGATCAAATTCAAGAAGGGGGAACTGACAAACCTTGAGTCCAGGAACCCAGTCAAAATGCTTATTACTGACACAAGAATTGGTAGGAACACAAAGGCCCTGGTTGCTGGTGTGTCTGAAAGAGCATCTAGGCATCCAGATGCTATGGCTTCTGTCTTCCATGCAGTGAACTCTATTAGTGAAGAGCTTTCAAGCATTGTTGAGTTAGCGGCCGAGGATGAAATAGCCATCACCTCTAAGGAGGATAAGCTAGCAGAGCTTATGGAGATGAACCAAGGTTTGCTTCAGTGCATGGGAGTCAGCCATTCTTCTATAGAAACTGTGTTACGAACCACTCTGAAATATAGCTTGGTCTCAAAGCTAACTGGAGCTGGTGGTGGAGGCTGTGTGTTGACTCTAATACCGACGTGTATCCTTTTATATATCCCCTAATTGCATCTTTTCCTTCATGGTTTTACAAAATAAACACCATACAACTTATGTGTGATTTCTGTTAATCTTTAACATTTCAACTCAAAGCTTTTCAGAAATCTGGGTCTTGATATGCATTAATAAAGAATCTGACAGTATAGGAACTTCAGATTCAGAACTACAATGGCCTGTCTTGTACTCCCTCCGTTTGACATCGTAGTTCATTTTGGCTTTGTCCTAAGTCAAATTTCTTTAACTTGGAATGGAGTGTTCATTACTTAATAATATTTAGAATGATTCTGGGTTCCATTCCATCTAATATAGACAAGTTTTTTTTGTGAATAAATCTATCAATGTGGAAGGACAGGAACTGTAGCTATTCAAATTTCTAAATATCCTTTGATTTCATCATATCTGAGTTTCTGTTCTGTATCTACTTAGAGAATAGTCCTGCAAGTTTTTCATCTGTCTGACCCTTCAATGGTGTCAATGTTTCCTTGACATGATTATCAGTATCGGCCAATATTGTTCTGGAGAAAGTCACCACAGAGCTCGAATCTCATGGTTATCGCTGCTTCAAAGTTGAGGTTGGTGGGCGAGGTCTCCAAGTATTCCGAGGACTCAACCTATTTCAAGGAGATGTTGTACCATACTTTTAGAAAATGGCTTACCTGCACTACAGCTGTTTAGATTCACTTATTGAATTATTCCAAGATCAGTACAGGGTATTCTTCTCCTAACCCTAGCAGAATCTTGTATCCAGTACTTGAGTTGTTCCAGGATTAGGACATTCTTATGCTATCCCTAGCACTCTTGGATCAAATAAGCTCTTAGATGCATGATCATTGCTGGTGTGATTATTGTATCAGATAAACAAACTTTTAATTGCTCCAAAAGTTTTTTTTTTGCGGGGTTAATTGCTCCAAAAGTTGTATCAAATAAAAAAAATATCGTTGACCTCATGAAGCCGGCAGCCACCCATATGTGCGACTTCTTCACAGGCGGCTTCGGGGCATCAATGCCACAGCGCCACACTTCAACACCAGTGATCTGGCTGTGGGGTGATCACCTATGCCCCCGCCCTGGTCACAGGTGCGAAAACTTCATATGGATATAGCTCCTGTGGTTTACAGTTCTGGGGCCTGGTCACAGGTGCGAAAACTTCATATGGATATAGCTCCTGTGGTTTACAGTTCTGGGGTACCATCTTGGCCAGTTAACTCTGCACAACATTTGTATGTTAATCATGCTTTGCTATAGTTATGAGTTTTCCCAATTCGATGCCTCAAATTGTACTCTTGTCGCATGAGAATGCCTTTGGTAGGTACCCTAATCTTTTTGGATGCTCAAACTGTACTCTTGTCTGTAATGCTACTAGGCCGGACGTCCCCTTAACCCACTGGATTTGTTGAAATGTCGTGCTCTTGTTAGTTTTTCTTTTGACAAGTTGTGTTTTGTATGTGATGTAAGCAGAGTTAATATTGGCCATCTTTTTCACTAGTTTTTGTTTGTTTTTGTATATTAAATGACTGAATAGGAATAAACTCGTGAACAGTTTTAGTTTGTGGCTGTCAGACATTATTGCCAATTTTTTATCGGTGCTACTGCTGATACAGTTTCTGACATTCTTGTGCATTCTGGAATATCTGGGAGATGTTCAGTTTCTGTGTTGCGCTCATGCTGCTACTTCATCCACTCATCCGGGAAACCTGCAGATGATGAATTAGGATCTCCTCAAAAGTCTGATGAGAAAGCTGTTTCCATTGCTGCTCGTTCACTAATCACTTTGTTCTGAGAGGTCAGGTGATCAGGTCTTTCCTTGCAAGTTTTTTAATGTTTTTCAACATGTTGAAATTCCTTATCGCTAAACCTCTTTTAATTGAAGTTCAGATCTGTCCTTTATTGTTAGTGAAAGATCGTGGCCGCCCTGATGATCCAAAAGCTCGGCCCAAAGCATCTGGAGAAGTCACTGTTGCTAACAATGTGCAAGGTGCTGAGTTGCTAGATGAAAATATTTCAGGAATAGGAAGACTTGGACGATGACTCTGATGCTTTTGGTTCTGATGATGAGACAGATTTGCCATCTGCCCCTCTTGGAAAAGAAGAAAATATGGAGAGTTTATCTGATGCAAACAAACATGATGCTAATGAAGATGTCAAAGAGGAAGTTGAAGCATCTGATGAATATGATACAGGTCAAGATGTCTCCAACTATTTTTTTTTTATTTTCACAAACGATGTATGAGAGTTGTGTGTCATTTCATTATAATAAGAGAGAAATACTTCAAGGATGATAGCGATGAAACTGATGATGAACTAGACGTGACTCTGACTGTTACGACCTCGGGATCTCAGGGCATAGGGATGTGAAGGGGAAGGCCGAGGTTTGGTTCCCCGGCGGCGGATCGGCGGTGCCGTGCTCGGCGCCTGGATTGTCGGACTGTGAACAAGAACTCGAACAGGGGAGCGCCAAAGAGCGAGAGAGAATAATCTCAATTCCCTGGCTGTCTTCTCATTAAGCAAAGTATGTGCCTTATAGGCCACTAGTACATGCAACCAAACTCACACATGCGGCTAACAAACCCCTGAAAAGGTTGACACGATCTAACAAACTCAATTGATCTAACAACTTTAACTAAGCTGCTCCTGAACTTGTGGCGTCGAGGCCTCCCCTGGTAACCGCGCCCAGTGCGTTGTCGTGCCCCTCACGCGGTCAGCCTCTAGCCACTGGTGCGCTGCCTCCTCTGATATGTTTGGCCCACCATAACATCTCTCCCCCCCCCCTCGGGAAACAGCTCGTCCTCGAGCTGGAAGGAGGGGTGCGCGACGCGGAAGGCGTCCACTGGTTCCCAAGTAGCTTTGGAGGCTGGCATGTTTGCCCACTGGACCAGAATGTGCCAAGCTCCACGCCGGAGGCTGGAGCGCAATACACATTCTGGCTGCTGCAAAAGACGGTCGTGCTGAAGAGGTGACAGAGGTGGGGTGGACGCCGGAGGATCCCCACGGAACGGCTTCAAGACTCCCACATGGAACACATCATGTACACGTGCACCGTCCGGCAGCTGGAGCAGGTAGGCCACCGAGCCGATGTGCTCCAACACTTGATAGGGCCCAGCATACTTGGGTCCAAGCTTGCTACGGCTGCCAGGAACAAGTGACTGGGTAGGGCGATGCAGCAGCCGAAGCCACACCCAGTCACCCACGGAGAACTCCAGTGTGCGATGATGAGCGTCGTAGTGACGACGGGCGTACTCCTACGCCTAGAGCAAGCGAGCGCGTACTTCCTGGAGAAACTCGTCGCGGCTGGACAGTAGGGCGTCAACGGTGTCCATGCGTGCGGAGCCCGGCTCATAGAGCAGCAGCGCTGGTGGAGCCCGGCCATAGACCACCGTGAACGGCGTTGTGCGGAGCGCCGAGTGGAACGCCGCGTTGTAGCAGTACTCTGCCCACGAAAGCCAGTCGAGCCAGTCCTGAGGCCGGTCCCCGGTGATGCAGCGAAGGTACATGTCGATTGTCTTGTTCACGGCCTCGGACTGGCCGTCGGTTTGCGGGTGGAAGGCGGTGCTCATCCGCAACTAGACGCCGGCCCTCCGGAAGAGATCACGCCAAACGTGACCGGTGAACACCAGATCACGGTCGCTGACAATGGACTCGGGGAAGCCGTGCAGGCGCACAATGTCGTGGAAGAATGCGCGTGCGACTGACGACACCGTGTAGGGGTGGCCGAGCGGGATGAAATGGGCGTACTTCGAGAACCTATCAACCACGGTGAGAATGACGCTCTTGCCGTGTACCTTGGGCAATGCCTCCACGAAGTCCATCGCAATGTCCGCCCAGACACGGGACGGCACCGGCAATGGTTGGAGAAGGCCGGCTGGGTGCAGCGCCTCCGTTTTGTTCCACTGACAAGTGGCACAGGAGCGAACAAAGTCGCTGACGGTGCGGCGATCGTGGTCGAGGGCGAAGTCGGCGCGGAGGCGTTGGAGCGTTTTATGGACGCCCTCGTGGCCAGCTGTGTGGGCGAGCTGTAGGATGTCGAGGAGGACAGCCGAGGTGCTGGGGACAAAGACACGGCCTTTGTGGATGATGAGGCCATCACGGACGCTCTAGGTGTCACCGTGGTCACCTGCAGCGACGGCGTCACGCCGGGCGCGTAGCATGTCGTCGATGGTGAGCTCCTGGCGCAGCTCGTCGTAGAGGCTGAATGCAGGTAACGAAATAGCTTCCAGGAGTGGCGCCAGGAGAGGCTCGTCGCCGTCGCGGCGTGACAGAGCGTCTGCCACGGTGTTGAGCCTGCCTGGATGATATTCGACCCTGAAATCAAAACCAAAAAGCTTGCTGATCCACTAATGTTGTGGGATCGTTGACAACCGCTGATCCAGCATGTATTTCAACGCGTAGTGATTGGTGCGCACGATGAAGGCGCCCCCCCCAGATATGGATGCCAGTGACAAACAGCTTGCACGAGGCCGATGAGCTCGCGCTTGTAGGGGGCCACTTTGAGGTGGCGCACGGCGAACGGCTTGCTGAAAAAGGCCAGCGGTCCGGCGCCTTGATGTAACACCGCACCGAACCTTGAGCCTGAAGCATCACAATCCACCACAAAGTCCTTGCTGAAATCTGGCAGGTGCAGGACAGGGGCAGCAGACAGGGCGCTCTTCAGGGCTGCAAACGCCGAGGTAGCCGCGTCAGACCAATGGAACGCATCTTTCTTGAGAAGCTGGGTGAGCGGGGCTGCAATGGTGCCGAAGCCTTGTATAAAGCGCCGGTAGTAGCCTGCTAAGCCCAGGAAGCCGCGCAGGCCACACGCCGATCGTGGCTGTGGCCAGGCCTGGACTGCCTCCACCTTGGCCTCGTCCATGGCCACACCCTCGGCGGAGATCACGTGGCCCAGGTACTGGACCGAAGAGGTGGCGAAAGCGCACTTGGAACGCTTGATGTGCAGCTGGTGTTCACGAAGGACGTCAAGGACGGTGCGGAGGTGCTGCAAGTGTTCGGTCCATGAGGCGCTGTAGATGAGGATGTCGTCGAAGAAGACGAGGACGCAGCGGCGCAAGAACGGCTTGAGGACGAAATTCATTAGTGCCTGGAACGTCGAGGGCGCGTTGGACAAGCCGAACGGCATGACCAAAAACTCAAAATGGCCATGGTGAGTGCGGAACGCCGTCTTGGCCACATCTTCGGGGTGGACGCGGACCTGATGGTACCCGGACCGAAGGTCCAGCTTTGTGAAGAAGCGGGCACCGTGCAGCTCGTCCAGTAGTTCTTCAACAACCGGGATGGGAAACTTATCCTTGACTGTGGCTGTGTTGAGCGCCCGATAGTCGACACAAAATCTCTAGGTGGCGTCCTGTTTTTTTACCAGCAGGACCGGCGCCGAGAAGGGTGAGGTGCTAGGGCGGATGATGCCCTGCTGAAGCATCTGCTCACACTGTGCCTCCAGCTCATCCTTTTGCAACTGAGGGTATCTGTAGGGACGTACAGCCACAGGCTCGGTCGCCGACTTGAGATGAATGCGATGATCACACGGGCGCGCCGGGGGCAGACCAGACGGTGAGACGAAGATGACCTCGTAGGCGTCCAGTAAGCGCTCTAGGAGCGCCAGCTCAGTCCCACGCGCAGCGTGGACACGGGTGGCGTGAAGACGGCCCGTCGGAGGAATGTCGGTGCGGGTGGAGCCTATGCCCTTCTAGAGCACGCGCCGGCCTTGGTGTGTGAAGGCCATGCAAAGGTCGTCGAAGTCCCAGAGGATAGGCCCCAGGGTGCACAGCCACGCGACCCCAAGAACCATGTCGTGGCAGTCAAGGGGGATGGAGTAGCAGTCCACCGTGAAGTACTCCTCCCCGATCCGGATGGCGACGTCGCGCGTGAGACCGCAGCACGCCACGCGGTCACCGTTCGCCACCACGACGTGGGTGCCGCGGCTGTCTTGGAAATGGAGGCCAGCGCGCCGAGCTGCTGTAGTGCTGATGAAGTTGTGGGTCGAGCCAGAGTCCAGTAACGCCGTGAACTCATGCGCGCTGATTTGGACGCGGAGCTGCATGGTGTCCTCCGTTCGGATGCCCGTGATCGCGGAGAGAGAGATCAGTGGCTCTTCTAGATCGAACGGCCGCTGGGACGACGCTACTGCTGCCGGGGCGACGTCGTCCTCCTCTGGTCCCTCAACGATGTAGTCGGATGCCTCAAGATAGAAGAGCCGGGCGCATTTGTAACCGTGGACATAGGGCTCATCACAATTATAACAGAGCCCTTGTTTGCGGCGCTCCGCCATCTCGTCCGGTGTCAAGCGTTTGAAGGCGCGTGGTGGTTGTGCCGATGAAGAGGATGCAGATGACGCAGCTCCCTGGGAAGGCGCCGGTACAAGCAGCGCGTGCTATCCACCAGGGGCACGTCGCGCTGCGCGCGGCGGCGCCACCGGTAGAGCGAGTAGAGCAGGCGCGTTACGCCGCTCGTACGCACGCGCCAGTCGCATGGCGCGCTGAAGGTCCTGCGGATCATGAAGCTCCACATCGACGCGGATGTGGTCCGGCAACCCACCGGTGAAGAGCTGTGCCTTCTGGAGTGGCGACAGACGGCCCGCGTGCGCCGCACGGGCCTGGAACGCCTCCATGTAGGTGTCCACCGTGGACGTGAAGGGTAGCCGCGCCAGGTCCGCCAAATGGTTAGTGCTGAGCGGCGGCCCGAAGCGCTGCTGGCACAACAACCTGAACTCAGCCCACGACGGTCGACCGGCATCGTTCTCGAGGACGAGGTACCACTGTTGGGCTGTGCCGGTGAGGTGGTAGGACGCCAGCCAGACTCGGTCAGCATGGCGCGTCTGCTGGCCATAGAAGAACTATTCACATTTATTCAACCAGCCGAGCGGGTCTTCTTTGCCGTCGTAGGTGGGGAACGAGAGTTTATGGAAGCGGGGGACGGCCGAGCCAGCTGGCTCGGGCGGTATGTGCGGCAGCGGTGGTGCAAAGTGCATGGGTGCGGTGGGCATGGCAGCGGACGGCGACGGGAACGAAGCACCCTGCATGATTGACGACAGGGACGGCACGGGTGAAGGTGAGGGGGAAACGAGATGTGAGTAATTGGAACACCCATGGATGATGGCAGTGGCGGAGACAACACGGCCCCAGCAGTTGTCGCCCGGGTGTTGGAGGACGGCAGAGCCGGCTGGAACGGTGGCTGGTAGGGCGGCACGGAGAAGTACTCCGAGACGGTCGGCCCGGACGCCGGTAATGTAGGGATGCCTCTGTACCCGGGCAGCCCATACTGGAACGGCTACGAAGAGGGCGATGGACGACCCTCGAGCGCCGTCACACGCAGCGACAAGTCGTCGAGCTGGCGCTACATTCCATAGATGGCCGCCGTCAATGCGTTAAACGCCTCATCGGAAGAGGCCGGCGGCGTCGGCGGCTGGGAATAGGGAAGCGGCGCGGTGGGCACTAGGGCGGCGGAGGTGGCCTTGGTGGTGGCGGCGGCGGCGAGGGGCGCGGAGGAAGCAAAAGCGGTGGGAGCGACGGGGGCCGAGGAAGACATGGTCTCTGATACCAAGTTGTTACGACCTCGGGATCTCAGGGCATAGGGATGTGAAGGGGAGGCGAGGTTTGGTTCCCCGGCGGCGGATCGGCGGCGCCGTGCTCGGCGCCTGGATTGTCGGACCGTGAACAAGAACTCGAATAGGGGAGCGCCAAAGAGCGAGAGAGAATAATCTCAATTCTCTGACTGCCTTCTCATTAAGCAAAGTATGTGCCTTATAGGCCACTAGTACATGCAACCAAACTCACACATGCGGCTAACAAACCCCTGAAAAGGTTGACACGATCTAACAAACTCAATTGATCTAACAACTTTAACTAAGCTGCTCCTGAACTTGTGGCATCGAGGCCTCCCCTGGTAACCGCGCCCAGTGCGTTGTCGTGCCCCTCACGCGGTCAGCCTCTAGCCACTGGTGCGCTGCCTCCTCTGATATGTTTGGCCCACCATAACACTGACACTGATAATATATTGGTGAAGATGAAGAACTGAAATAAAAGCATAAATGACTAGGATGAAGTTTCAGACCAGGATGAAGACAGCAATGAGAAAGATAAGTCAAAAGGAAGCAGTTCTAAGGTGTATATGAGAAATTTAAGTGATTATATTGGAGAGCTAAATGCTGGCGATGCAACCTTGGAGCTGAAGCAGTTAGCAGGTGCTGAGTTGCTCGATGAAAATATTTCAGGAATAGGAAGACTTGGACATGGCTCTGATGCTTTTGGTTCCGATGATGAGACAGATTTGCCATTTGCCCCTCTCGGAACAGAGGAAAATATGGAGAGTTTATCTGATGCAAACAAACATGATGCTAATAATGAAGATGTCAAAGAGGAAGATGGTACAAGTCAGAACTGATGATGAACTCGACAATGACTCTGACGCTGATACTGATATATCCCGTAAAGATGAAGAACTGAAAGAAAGCATAAATGGTTCATAGGATGGAGGTTCAGACCAGGATGAAGACAGCAATGAGAAAGATAAGTCAAAAGGAAGCAGCTCTAAGGTGAATATGAGAAATTTAAGTGATTATATTGGAGAGCTAAATGCTGCTGATGCAACCTTGGAGCTCTGAAGCGGTTAGCAGGTGCCAAGAAGGCTGAAGTTCCGTCTTATGAAGCTTTTTTTTTTGGCGGATTAAGAGATATATAAATATTCTGAGCAATATCTTTACAATCGTGAGCTATATCAGCTGCTCAATACAGGAAGGAAAATGAAAGCGCCACACAGCGCTGTGCTTTGAGCGCTTAGCATGCCGTGCTAGCTGATGCGCTGACTCTGCTCTCTCTTTATGTGCTTAAAGACTAGTTCTCCCTCAATCCGCGAAATGATGCAATTATGGGATGTGTGCCGGTCAAGTTTACTCAAGTTTGACCAAGTTTATAGTAAATATTATTAACATTTATGTCTTCAAATAAATTTATTATGGAAATATATTCTGTAACTAATCTAATGATAATAATAATTTTATATCATGAATGTTAATATTTTTTAATAGTAGTGTTTAGCAATTACAGTTGAAGTAACTAGCTTGTTGTCTCTCCTTGGTGGACAAGTATGGACATCATCAAATGTTACCACCTTGAGACCTGGTAGTCTTTGACCCATATATCAACCAATTGCATCCAGCAGGCCAGTCACATATAGCCCTAACCTTAGTCTTTTCATCTTTGACAAATTTGAGTGACTTATGTGCCTTTAGTCCATACTTTACAAGTGCCTTCTTGAACTGCCTGCTGCATCTGAATGCCATCCCAAGTGAGAAAGCAGGGAGCTCAGCCTTACTATCAAACCTGTTCTCCAATGTCTTCCACCTTTCAGTTTCCCCATCACTATTTTCCTCATAAGAATACTCATCACTGGAATCAAGGAAAGGACTGCCAGGTTCATCCAAATTTGGTACTTCATCAACTAGATCCTCTGCTCTAATGTCCACAATTTCACTGGCATGAATACCTAGCTTCTTTGCTCTGATGTTTCTCTTAATCTGCCTTGCATAATTTCTCAATTCATCATCTGCAGAGCTGTCTTCCTCTGATGGCTGCTTGTACTCTTCATCAGATGTATCATCAGATGACATCTGCACAGAGTCTTCTTCATCTTCTGTAACTGCAGGCCTTTTTCCTTTGTCTGAGTTCTTTGAAGGTGACTTGTAGAATGCCATGTAAGATTGGTAATCTTTGTCATCCATCAGTGGGCTTGGCATTACATCAGCAGGCACATCTTCATCATTTGCATCATCTCCTCCCTCATCATCACCAAGCCATATGTCCTGATCATCTGCATTGATCTCCATAGCCACCTCCTCAACATACATGTCAACACAACTACCATCACTGTGATAAGAAGCCATGACCTGGCAGGAATCATCATCTAGCAACAACACAAGGCCCTTATCTATATGCATCCCAGGCTTCAACCAGTACAACCTCAAGACACTTGTTGCATTATAGTGATCAGTTACGTGGCCCTTGATCTCAAAAAATGAAAGTCTGTCCACATCTATCCAGGATTCAGCAATATCTCCACCAACATAGAACTGGCCGCTTCCAACGGTGGTAAAAGTACCACCAAAGTGAAATCTTATACACATTCTGTCCATATTATCCATCCTGCCAACGACATACAACCTCTCAGAACAAGAACTCAAAGAATCAAATTTTCCAAACCCTAACATACGATCGACTTCATCAACTGGGTAAACAACATCACAGATTCTTCCCCCATGCTCAACCACTACACCGAAACCACCCCTATGACGACACTTAACCCTAATCAACAGCAAATCGAAAACCCCAATTCCCCCCCAAACCAGTGCTATGCAATCTGACACCGCGCAAATGAAAACCTCAAATTGGGTCTACGAGTAGCAAGTGTGGACCTTGTCGACGTGCCGAAGTCCAGTCACCGTGGCGTGCTCCCGATCATCGCCGCGCCGCCCGTGTCGCCGGAGAGGGAGGAAAGAACGAGGGCGAGTGAGAGTACGCGGCCAAAGCGGGAGAGAGAGACGGGAAGGGAGGCAGGGGAGGCGTATTTCACCCGAAGGGGCACCTGACAGGTGGGGCCGTAGGCCACGCGGGCCGCGGCAGCCAGGTTGGACGGCCACGTCGGCCAAAACCACTAGCCCAAACCGCCTAGGGGCCAAAGTGAACGGTTTGGCATAGTTTAAAGTTGTAAACACCCGGTTTTGTAGGACGGGAGATTAAGGGCCTGGTTAGTTCGCGAAATGAAAATTTTTAGATGTCACATCGGATGTTTTGGGAATATTGGAAGGGGTTTTCAGATACTAATAAAAAAACTAATTACATAACTCGCCTGGAAACTGCGAGACGAATTTATCAAGCATAATTAATCCATCATTAGCGCATGTTAGTACTGTAGCACTTATGGCTAATCATGGACTAATTAGTCTTAAAACATTCGTCTCGTGATTTCCAACCAAATTGTGCAATTAGTTTTTTTCGTCTATATTTAATACTCCATGCATGTATCACAAGATTCGATATGGTAGTTTAGAGTGAAAATTTTTAGGAACTAAACCAGACCTAACTATGCTAGGTATAATACTCGATGGGTTATATAGACTTTTTCCTTTTGAAAGCGTGCAGGAAGGAACTGTGGTGCTGGGAGAAGTGACAGTGGGCCCTGCTGCAGATGCAGATCGCCTGCTGCTTGTTGGGCCTGTGCTCATGTGCGGCCTCCCCACTCCAGCCGCTTCGTCATCGGCATCGTTATGTGATGCATCTGGCAACCCCACCGGCGGCTCCGTCCTCCGCGTCGGCGACAAGCCGGCGGTCGACCTGGGCACCTTCCTTGTCAGCCAGGACACCGCCGCGCGGGGCCGGGGCCGGGGCCTCGCTGGGGTCGCTGTCCATCCCAGCGGTCGATTGGCTAACCTGAACCGGCCCCACATGGCCCAGGCTAGGACTACGAGGACGAAAGTGTTCTCGATGGCCTTCGCTTGCCTGATCAAGCCGAGGAGGAGCCCAGCTCCTCATGAGTAGGCTTTCTCCTCGAGTACTACGGTGGCCAGATCCTATTTCGGCCCGCCAACGCTGACCCTTTCCTTTACCTCGTCACTGGCCCGGCTCAGAGCGATGGACAGCTGCAAGCAAAAATCTTGCGCTTTCGCGTTGGGGGCATGCCGTCGGGTATGTATGTACGATTTTACTTGTGTTTTTTTTTATTTCTCATCATCTCATCGCAAAAACCAATCACCTTCAAATCTTAACATAATTTGCGTCAGGAATCGGTTCCATGGAGGTCCAAGTATACGCATCGGTCTTAGGCATGCCGAGGCGATGCGCGTTGGATGCCGACAAGCCTCACGACCTCTACTGCGCAATCGTTGAGGTTATTCTGGCTTTTTTCGCTGCTGCTGCAAGTGTTGTTTTTTTTTGTGTGTGTTGTTGGCGTTGTGGTGAGTCCAATGCATTTACCAACGGAACTCGTAACGTACAGGAAGAGCAAGAGGTTGTATATACCTCACCTCAGACGGTCCATCCCCCTCTGCCACACCGCCAAGCGCCTCGCTCGTCGTGGCCCACCAACGGCCCACGCCAGGAACGTCGCCATCCCTAGTAGGAGGCCTGCTTTACCGGGGTTACGCGGACAACACCCTCACCGGAAGGTATTGTAATGCCCCGACTTCCACTTGGTTTCGTTCATTCATTTCCCTCCCTCACCGGTTCATTCATCATGCATCCTTGTGTTTCACTACTCTCTCTATATTCATCATGCATTCTTGGTGGTGGTTACACGGCGTACAG